CGGGCTGCTCCTCCCATTGCCATTGCCATGCCGCGCTGTCGTCGCTATCCGAAGCGATCGATCGTCGCTATCCGTCGTTGGTAAATGCCATTGCCATTGCCATTGCCATGCAGGCGGCGAGGGTTGCCGCGTCCGGATGGATAGAGCATCCGGATAAGCGGCGTTGTAGATCACTACTCCCTCCTCCCAAGTCGGGATGGGCGCTGACTGGACAGCTGATCACTACGGCGTCCAGCGACGTGCGTGCGTGCGTGCATGCTGATTATTACTCCTACTTTAAGCATACTTGCCAGAGATGGTTTGGGCGGGCTGTGTCGATTCGGGCATTTTGCTTTCAATAATCCTAAACATACGGCTTCTTACATGCATTTACGGGGACCTTCCCTTAAATCCCTTCGCCCCTCCCCCCTCCCCATTTCTACCCGGGGTGGTCCCGCCTCACTCTCCTTCTATCCAATTCTGTTAAGCCAACTCAACCTATGATTAAACTTTGCCCGTAATTATCTGTACGTGTAGCATTGCTCTTTTGCTTTATACTCCCTGCCTCCGTTTCTACATATAAGCCCTTTTAGAGATTTTAAAACGGACTACATACAGATGTACATACACGCATTTTGAAATGTAGATTCATCCCGCCTGCTCCGTATGTAGTTTATATTGGAATCTCTAAAAATACTTATATTTTGAAACACATGGAGTATATGAATTAAGCGGGTCGAAAGTCTTTTTTGATACGTTTTTTTTCTTCTCAAAAGAGGGTTTACCCTCCTATATTTCATTAATGAAACTATAGCAGGAGACAGAGATGTCCACGAACCAGCTAGACGAAACTACCAACAACCGCTAAAGCGGGTCGAAAGTCTCTTTTGATACGGTTTGGACGGAGAAAATCTCTGCTACCTAAAAAGAACGCAACGTTCCGTTTCCCCTCTTACGTTGGTCCGACGCCAGATTTTCGCTCGTCGCTCGTGGCTCCTCGATGGTCCGCACATGGGCCAAAGGCCAAAGCCCAGCCCGAGCGAGCCAGCCTACGCGCACAAGCACACGCACTCCCCTCCTTCTATAGTACATGTGCGAGGTGAAAGGGAAGCGACTGATTTTTCCCGTCGATCCGCCGGCGCCGCCGCTGGTTTTCCTCCCCTCCGCCGGCCGCTTCGGCGGCGGGAGGGTGGGGAAACCTCGGATCCGCGCGTCCGGTGTGTAAATAGCTTGTTTTGCCTGATCGTCGTCAGTGCTATGGGGGTGGCGGCGGCGACATGTTTCGTCCCACAGCTTTCCTCATGGCGATGCTCTCCTCCGGTGTGGCGTCGTCGAGCTCGTGGGTGGTGGTGGTTGGCCGGCCGTGGGTCGGCTACCTGTCCGACGTGCTCCTGGTGGTGGCGGCTTACGGTGAGGTCGTCATTGCCGAAGGATTTTTGGTCGCTCGTTCCTTCTCCGTCCAATAAATCTTTGCTTGTTGTTGATTTGTTGGGGACTGGGCGGCGTGTATCTCCTGCTGATCTACGGATCGAGCGGTGTCTCGGCCTTCCCCTCCGATGGTGGCGCCGTCGGATGGAGAAGTGATTTTGGTCCTCACGGATCTGTAGATCCCGCAAGTTCTTGGATTCTCAGGCAGGGCGGTGTGGCGGCTTCGCCGTCCTGGCGATGTGAGTATCTATGTCCCCCTCCTCTTTGTTGTTGCGCTGGCGAAGTATCCATCGGTGGCGTGGAGGTGGGGTCCTGGAGTGTAGGAGGTGTTTGGTTGAGCTGCAGGTTTGATTCCCTCTCAACAGATGCTGGTCATCTTCTTCCTCTCCGGTTCCGTTCGGAGAGTGTCGTTCTCTCGGAGTATGCTGATGCCGTGGTTGGCTCTTGGTGTTGCCGCCGATATGCGTTCATCGACTTGAGATCCCGCCCGGCGTCGGGTGGCTCATGCGGCTTCAAAACCTTTATGGCGGGGGTTCCTGTACCCCTGAGGCGGCCTGTGGGCATGGCGTCTTCTCCAGCTTCGGTGAGCTCCGGCGATGGCGACGTGGTTTGCGCGTGTTCAGGCGATGAGTGTTTCGGTGGCCGGCTGTGCTTTTCTGTTGTATTTTCTTTCTGTTCAGAGGGTGTCTATGTAATATTATGCTATGAATAGAGCAGCTCTTTGTCTCAAAAAAAGCACACGCACTCCTTCCTCCTCACGGCCTCAAATGGGCGACGCTAGGGTTTCGCCCAGCCCCAGCCTCGGCCGCCGCTCGACCTCGGTGACCGCCGCTCCTTGGCTCCGCGGCCGCCGCTAGACATCCACGGCCGTGCCTTGACCTCCTTGGCTCCTCTGCCGCCACTCGACCTCCTTAGCTCCTCGGTCGCCGCTCGACCTCCACCACCACGCTTCGCCAACACTTGCTTCCCCGTATCCGGCCCTTTGTTGATATGGACTCGTGCTCCTCAGCCCTCATGGTGTTGTGCTACACGCGTGCTCCGCGGCCCCTCCTCCACGGTGTCATACAGAAAGGACGAGGGTGAGTCCTGGTTACTGACGTGTGTGGGTGTGGATGTGGGTAAGATTTTCATTGATTTCTTCTCCGTTGGAAATTGTCCAACCATTATTGATTTGACGTTTCAATTTTTCTTGTTGTTTTCACTGAATGAATTACAGGAACACACCTATCATATGCCCTAGCAGTGCAAGCCTGAACACATGTCATATGTTGGAGTAGATGCAAGTATATGAATGATGAATGGGTGCTGCCTTAAATCATCAGCACATTAGTGGTGCCCGATCAAAGTCAAACGCTCGCCCTGGACAACCCCGTTCGCCAAAGTGGTTACGCCGAGCTGTAGTTGCTGGGCGCCCATCTAGCCGCTCTGCTGGGTGTGGCGTCACTCCTGTCCCCGGCAACATGTACTTCTCTACCAGACAAATTAACTTAGATTGGGTTGCTGCAAGAGTTTTTATTGTTGATTTCGAATGTTTTTTAAGGAGAAAGGTTAGTAAATGATGTTGTTTTCTACAATGCAAATTCAGTCGTCGGCTTTGCTATTGAGTGCCAAGGTGTAGATTCGGAACTGCGGGGTTCAACATAGAGGGCTTCACTACAATATTTTCGCCATGCGGTTGATGGTTGTGAACGGCCTAAATAACACGGCCAATGAGTGGACGCTTCGTCGAATATTTTTGATCTATGCAACACTGGATCAATTACACATCCATCCACCCAACTTCAGTTTTGATATATTTGATGCATAATGCACAATGAATCTTACTTATGTTGAAAAACTTAGACATATAAGAATGTCTGCAAGCAAACCACGTACCACACATTTTAGAAGGTTTATTTTTCTACATTTCTATTTTTCTCTACATTTGTACTAGCTATGTATCAATAAGTATTTCTACAATTTTTATTTGATGCCAAATTTTAAGGAACGCTAATCTGATGTACTTTTACAGTAATCAGCATGTTGACTTGGCGCTTGCCCGTTCGCAACATACCTTCGTATTGTCGAAGGGTTGGATGATTGTAAACCGGATGTACCATTAACGACAATGGTGTGGATGGATTGGGGAGACAAAGAATACGGGAGGACAGAGAAGTAGGATGATTTAAAGGTTAAAAAAATCAACAATGCTATTTGATGTGCAGGAGGATTCTAAACAAAACACGATTAATGTGAAACCAATTGAATATTCAGGCCCCCGGTGCAACGCACGGGCAATTACCTAGTTAACTCAGAAGAACGACGCTGCAATCACACCGCTAGCACGAACACACACATTATTCACACCAACTAATCCCAATTGACACATTTTGTGTCAAGTAGGCGCCCTTTGCACCGACACACTAGGAGCGCTCTGGGTGGGTAGGCCCATGTAGCTAGCACAGCGTAAGGATTTTGGTTTTTGCTGTACGATTTTCTATGGGTTTTAGGAACCTTCTATAAGTTTCTCTTTCTCGAACCGATTTTCTTTCTTTTGTTGTTTCATTTACTGGTTTTTTGGTTTTCTTTTCGGGTTTTCATTTTTATCATCAGAAAATTCAAAGATTATTTTTATTATAAAAATCACCTTTCTCCTAAAGTGTTTGAAATTTTCAAAAGATGTTCACACTTTTCCAAAAAACAACTATAATTTAAAAAATTGTTAGTTTTTCAAAAAATGTTTGAAATGTAAAAAATTGTTCACAATTTAAAAAATGGCACAAAAAGTGTTGAAAATTCCAAAAAGTCTGAAATTCAGTAAATTGTTCGGAAGAATTAAAAAAATGTACAAAAGTCACTTTCTTTTGAGTTTCAAAAAGTGTTGTGAGCCGTTACGGGCACTCGCTTGAATGCCTGCCGATGGCCGACCAAGTTGGGCTCGGTGTGTGTGCCTCAATCTCTATTTGACGAACTCCCCGACCCGCCTTATACCAAATTTATATCATAGTCATCTCTCTTGCGTCACATATTTGACATCTGGGGTTAGGGATTTGGACAAGAGCAATGATCCTAGATTTGATGCAAGGGAAGACTTCCTTGGTGGAAGAAGCGAATTTGAAACCATGGGACCAAATATGACACAGTGTAACAACTACAAGGTGAAATCAGAAAATTTCAAACGAGGCATGACCTATCACAAACAAAACAAGGGCAAAAAGAAAGAAAGAAAAATCAGGATCCCTTGTATTTTCTGAAAGGTTATTGGGCCGTCCCGGGCTTGAAATGGGGCCGTACAAACAAGCACTTGTAAGTTTAGATCTGCGAAGCCCACCTCAAAAATCATTTTTTTTATTGCGAAAGAAGCGAAACGATAGCCGGAGAAGCTGGACGCAGCCGCACCGTACAGCCCCACTTTACTTCCCACTTAGATAATTCCCCCCCCCCCCTCCGAGAGGCTGCCGGATGGGGCTGGGGCCACTGGTCATTGAGACAATTCTGAGGCAAATCCTCTAACCCTTTGTAAAGTGGCGCAAATCATCCATTTTTTTTAATTGCGAAGGAAGCGAAACGATAGCCGGAGAAGCTGGAAGCGAAACGTGAGCGGAAGCCAAGAAATGGGCGCGCTCTGCCTGCTCCCGTCCACGCCGCCGTCCTGCTCGGGCCGCGGCCTGGCCTCCTCGCGGCGCCCGCCCAGACCCGCGGCCGCGCTTCCCCTGCGCCCCTCCGGTTCTCCCTGGCCGCGGCCCCAGCTCGCCGCGGGCGGGGGCCGGCGGCGGCTCGCCGGCGTGGCGCGTGGCAGCGGGGAGAAGGGGGGCAAGAACGGCGGGGCGGAGTTCTTCCGGGAGGACGGCGTGGTGGACGACATGGACGGGTACCTCAACTACCTGTCCCTCGAGTATGACTCCGTCTGGGACACCAAGCCTGCTTGGTATGGCTTCAGATAGCTCCTTCCTCCTTTCTTTCCCTTTAGAAGAAACTGAAATTTAAGAAGGCTGTGGCGCAAAAGTTCGATTTGTTGCTACCTGTATTTATTCAGGCGGATACCTCTAGTTTTTTGTTAGTATTGTTCTTGTGTATTGTGACCAGATTATAGTACGGCAGTACTGTTGCAAAGCTTAAATGGTCGCCAGAATCTGGAACGAACTACGCTTTTACCTTTAATGACCTGACTGCTGCCAAAATTCTATTTGTCTGTTCGCTGTAAACAAGTTATGAGTTCTCTTGAGTGATGTGTGCCAATTTAGGCTGAGTTTGCGGTGTCTGAACTGTATTAAACCTGGCTGCACTGAACTTATTTTAGTAAGATGATGTGCAGAAGTGGTGCAAAAATAGGATCCATGCTTGTCAAATCAAATTAGAATCTAACTAACTCTTACAGTACCTTTCAAAAAAGAGTCGATAGATCTCTTTTGTAGTATTATTTGGCAGTATCACAAGAGTCGATAGATCTCTTTTGTAGTATTTTACTAGCCAAGCACAATTCTAAACTCATTGCAAACCATCTATATGCGGTTTAACCAAGCGGGGTTTTCACGGTTCACCACAATGCGTAACGTAGCCTTAAAATATCTATGCTTGATGCTACCGATTCAGCCTCACTTCTCTTACTACCTGGTAAACAAGTAACTCGTTTTCAAGTTTCATCAGCATATAAAGGTTGTAACATGTAGTGCTTGCTGCAGTTTGTCAGCCTGGTTTTTACTTCTTTTTTCTGACCTGTAACATTTTTTTGCAATAAATAAGGCTGCGTGCATCACCCGAGTCAGAGGCCCGGGACGATCCCTCCTTTCCGATTTCTTTTTTTATAACAGTTAATGCTATGTGGCAATGGAGCTAGGCGATATATACTATAATTTATTTTTGAGGAATTATATAAGATAGTTAAGAAGGCAGATATTATATTTCAACCAGTTCTTGTTTTGTCGTCCTTTTTGAACATTTATGGTCTCAACCTCTTACTAGTGACTACAACCATATCTTTTTTCACCAATATTGACCTCTGAATTTTTTCTATTGTAGGTGTCAGCCTTGGACAATATTACTAACAGGAACCGTTGCAGTTGCGTGTAGTTGGGTGCTCATCCACTCTGCTGTGATTACCGGAGGAGTTTCTTTTGTAATATGTGCATGGTGGTACATATTTCTTTACTCCTATCCTAAGGTTTCTGCACCATTTTTCTAACCCTTTCTTTATGTTATTTCTTTTTATTGAAATTATTGTTCAGAGGTTTGGTTTCCTAAAAGGTTCTAGTGTGTTGCGCTCTTAAATTTACTTTCTTTCAGAATTATGGAAATTTTTCCAGACTGCTAATTCTGGAAGATGGTAATAACCTATTATTTGACATTAACATGACTCTTACATATAAACTAATGTTGTTATAAGTTATAACTGATAATCTGCTAGATAGTCCTGTCTGTTTGGACGCATAAACTATGTTATTACTATTAAACAACACAAAAAGAAAGAGATTTACAAATAACAACACAAAAGAAAACTTACAAACTACTCCCTCCGTCCCATAATGTAAGACGTTTGTGCAAGCAATGTAGCTTGCAAAAACGTCTTACATTATCGGACGGATGGAGTACAATTACCAGCAAACTGATTGTGGTAAGTGCTAACGTCAGACATTTTCTTCTTTCATGTAGAATTCTTTGATCGGAAAGTATTCTGGACATCAGTCCACAGTATTATTATTTTCTACTACGCAATTACAAATTTCAGGCGCAGAACTAAGTTAGAACTAACCCTATGGCTTTGTCAGGCATACACCGATATGATATCCGAGAGGAGGAAAAAGGTGGCCAGCGGTGCTGAAGATACCTACGGGATGGAGAAAATGTAACCTTGTTTGTAGTATTATTTCCAGGGATAGATAGAAAATGGTTCTGCAGGTTGCACTACTGATATGTAGAATTTATTCCTCACAAAATCGCTACATCAAAATACAGAATCATGCTTCTCGGCTGCTTCCTCATTTTTTCCTTCTTCATTGGAGTGTGCCTCACTACCTTGGAAAAAGATCAGCATTGTACATGTCATCACTTCTTTCTGATATATAGGTGAATGTGTGAGAGTGGATTTCGTGCTCCCAAATGCGATTTCGCTCACAAGTCTGATTTCGCTCACAAGTCTAGGTACTGTCTTCGATGTGCAAACTTGGTTGAAGATGCCGCTCATATCTTCCTCCACTGCCTGCCTCATAAGTTTGCTCATATTTTAATTTGTAGATCATGGCAATTTTAGTTTTTTGATGATGACAATTCCAGTACTTTGACCATGAAAATATTTTTTTGTATGAACCATGGCAATTTTAAGTGCATGTATCATGGCAATTTTAGTTTATAATGCATGGCAAGTCTAGTTTCTTAATTCCTCATTTTATAATATGTCAAATTTTAAATGCAGAAGAAAATAGCTGAAACATATCATGGCAACTTTAGTGTAAACATCATTGCAATTCATGTGCAATAGACATGACAATTTTTAACCAAAAAAAATTTCGTCGAAATATATTAATATGAGATTTAGTTTTGAAGATCTCGTCGCGAGGGATTTAATGATGAAAACGGATCTTCAATCGGATTTTTCCATTTAAGAGATAAAACATTTTAAAAACTGAAAATTCAAAAAAAAAACCCACATGATATGGTGACATGGCGTAGTCTGTGTCATGAGCGTGTGGGCTCGCCATTAACAACCGAAACGATTTCCTTCCTAGTTCGAAGCATGGGAGGAGAATGAGAGCGGCGGTTCGCACGAAGCGGCCGCGGCGGCCACCGCCGGCGGCGGCGACGGCACAGCTGGCTTCCAGTTCCAGGCCGAAGCTGGAGAAGGCGCAGGTCCCTCTAACCCTCCCGCTGAAATCCTTCAAGCTCCGCCTGGCCAACGGCCCGCCGCTCGCCCCCACGCCCAAGGCATTCAAGTCCTACGCCGAGACCTGCGCCACCCTCCTCCGCCTCTGCCGCGCGACCGCCACCAGCCATGCCGCGCCCGCCTCCTCCTCGTCCTCCTCCGACCGCCTGCCGCTCGCCCTCTCGCTGCACGCGCACACCGTGCGCTCCGGCGTCGCCGCCGACCGCTCCGTGGCGTCGCACCTCCTCACCACATACGCCGCCTTCGCTCGCGCCGCGGAGCGCGACCGTGCCTTCGGGGACTGCGTTGCCGCGGACGCCGCCTGCTCCTTCACGTACGACTTCATGGTGTCCGAGCACGTCAAGGCCGGGGACATCGCCTCCGCTCGCAGGCTGTTCGACGGAATGCCCGAGAGGAGCGTCGTGTCGTACACCACCATGGTGGATGCGTTGATGAAGCGCGGGCGTGTGGCAGAGGCCGTCGAGCTTTATGAGCAGTGCCCGTCCGGCTCCGTGGCCTTCTTCACGGCAACGATTTCTGGTTTTGTGCGCAATGAGCTCCACCACAATGCTCTTGCCGTCTTTCGTAAAATGGTCAGCTGCAGGGTGAGGCCTAATGGTATCACCTTTGTGTGCATGATCAAGGCATGCGTTGGTGCAGGTGAATTTGGTCTAGCCATGTCCATCGTGGGATTGGCGATTAAATCAAACTTCTTCGAGAGCAGCATCGAGGTACAAAATTCTTTGATCACGCTGCATCTGAGAATGGGGGATGCAGATGCAGCCCGTAAGGTGTTTGATGAGATGGATGTGAAGGATGTGGTCTCGTGGACTGCACTGCTTGATGTGTACTCTGAGTCGGGTGATCTTGACGGAGCTCGACGGGTTCTTGATGCAATGCCTGAGAGGAATGAGGTCTCCTGGGGTACTTTGATTGCTAGGCATGAGCAGAGAGGGAATGCGGCAGAAGCGGTGAAGCTGTACAGTCAAATGCTGGCTGATGGTTGTAGGCCAAACATTTCATGCTTCTCTAGTGTGCTCAGTGCTTGTGCTAGTCTCGAGGACTTGCGAGGAGGAGCGAGGATCCATGCCCGTAGCCTAAAGATGGGCTCTAGCACCAATGTGTTTGTATCCAGCTCTCTGATTGACATGTACTGCAAATGCAACAAGTGTAGAGATGCGCAAACGATTTTTGACACCCTCCCACAAAAGAACATAGTGTGCTGGAACTCTCTCGTTTCAGGTTATAGCTACAACGGGAAAATAGTAGAAGCTATGTATCTCTTCAAGAAGATGCCTGCAAGGAATTTAGCTTCATGGAATACAATTATCTCTGGTTACGCGCAAAATCGACAATTTGTTGACGCGCTAAAATCTTTCAATGCAATGTTGGCTTCGGGTCAGGTTCCAGGGGAAATTACATTCTCGAGTGTTCTTCTTGCTTGTGCAAACTTGTGCTCGTTAGTGACGGGCAAGATGGCTCATGCTAAGACCATCAAGCTAGGAATCGAGGAAAGCATTTTTATTGGTACTGCACTTAGTGACATGTATGCCAAGTCGGGGGATTTACAGAGCTCCAAGAGGATGTTTTATCAAATGCCTGAAAGAAATGATGTCACTTGGACTGCCATGATTCAAGGACTTGCTGAAAATGGTTTTGCGGAGGAATCTATTATTTTATTTGAGGATATGATGGCAACTGGAATGAAGCCAAACGAGCATACATTTTTAGCTCTTCTATTTGCTTGTTCCCACGGTGGTTTGGTGGAGCAGGCCATGCATTATTTTGAAAAAATGCAGGCATGGGGTATTTCACCTAAAGAGAAGCACTATACTTGTATGGTTGATGTCCTAGCTCGAGCTGGTCGTTTGGCAGAGGCAGAAGCTCTTCTGATGAAAACCCCAAGTAAATCAGAAGCAAATTCATGGGCTGCCCTTCTGAGCGCTTGCAATACTTACAGGAATGAGGAGATTGCTGAGAGGGCTGCAAAGCGGCTTCATGAGTTGGAGAAGGATAATACAGCAGGTTATGTGCTACTCTCGAATATGTATGCATCATGTGGAAGGTGGAAAGATGCTGCCAGGATAAGGGTACTGATGAAAGGGACCACACTCAAGAAAGATGGAGGGTGTAGCTGGGTTCAAGTAAGAGGTCAATATCACGCCTTCTTTTCTTGGGAAGCAAAGCATCCACTGTCAATGGAAATCAACGAGATCTTGGATTTACTAATGTGGGAATCGTCTCTTGACTTTGTTTCGTCAGTAGATTACCAGTGTGGACAGCCTTAGACAAAATAGATCATTTATTCAGTTCATCATACAGATAAAGGTAGCAAGATGGAGCTACTTCCGGAGAATGATCTTGAGGAATTTGAGTTTCGCTCCCTTTATGTTGGTTGTCTTGATGTACATCTGCTCTGCAAATTCTATAGCAGGTTCGTGATTGCACTCACTGAGGAGTATACTTGGAAAATCTGGCTGATTTAGCTGGCCAACGATTTTGAGCAGTAGTATCACCATGCTATGCTTCACCCTGCTCCTGGAGCATTATCGCTTTGCATGGTCTTGATAACCTGGAGTGTAGACTTTTCTGCTGTACTTCATATGATTTGATTTGACGTGAATCGGTTTTAGATGAACAGCAGAGATGTCATGTGGGGCACGTCTTACAGACGTGGGCCGCGCGGCCAGGAGCAGCCGATGGCCGCATCAGGCAAGGCGCAGGCTGGACAGGAGTCCTGATCCGGGCACATTAGTTCCTAGACTAGTTTGTTTCGTATAGGTTTCTAGTTTGTTATTAGCCCATGGGGCCTTTATATATCAGATAGTTAGCACCCTTTAGGGATAAGCAATAAAGTTATTTCCTTCTATCTTCCCCTCCCGCATCATAGAGCAGCCAGGCAAAAACCCTAGCGCTCCTATCCACCGCGACTACGAACTACGTAGTCGAGGTCCTGCTGTCTTGGGCACCGAGGCCCTTGACAACTTGGTATCAGGTTCCAGGCGATCCTCCTCCTCGTCCACGCTCCATCCGCCGGCCGCTTTCCCCCTGTGTCCGCGCCCAGCTCCCCGACATCGCCACAATCCGCTGCCGCCTCGGTCACTTCCGGCATGGCAGAACCGACCACCGCGGATCTGGCTAAGATGATCGAGGCCTTGACGGCCACGGTGACGTCCCTGCAGTCGTCCGTCACCGCACTCCAGAAGGACAAGTCCTCCTCTTCGTCCAGCGCTGCCGCCGCCCATGATGGGCAGCACCACAATGATCGGCCGCCCAGGTTCCAGAAGATGGACTTCCCCAAGTTCGACGGCAAGTCTGATCCACTCGCCTTCATCAACAGATGCGAGTCCTTCTTCCATCAACAACGGATCGCCGAGGAGGAGAAGGTGTGGATGGCGTCCTACAATCTCGAGGGTCCTGCCCAACTATGGTATATGCAGGTCCAGCGCGACGAGGGCACACCTCCGTGGCGCCGCTTCTCCGAGCTGCTCAATCTCCGCTTCGGGCCACCGCTGCGCGCTAACCCGCTGGGCGAACTAATGGCGTGCAAACGCACGACGTCCGTCGTCGACTTCCAGGAGCGGTTTGAGGCACTCCTTCCCCGGGCAGGCACCTTATCCGAGACACAGAAAGTGCAGATCTTCACCGCGGGACTCCAGCCACCCCTCAGCCTCGACGTGGAGATCCATAACCCACAGTCCCTCGCCGTCGCCATGAGCCTCGCCCGCAAATTGGAGCTGCGCGACAAGTGCGCGCTTTCCGCCGCGCCACCAGTGCGTTTTCCACAGAAGGGCATCCTGCCGACACCAGGACCACGCCTCGCGCCCCCCGCTCCGGCCCCACCAGCCGCACCTCAGCAGGGCCACAATCTGCCGGACGGACGCCCAATCAAGCGTCTCTCCCAGACAGAGATGGAGGAACGCCGTCGCCTGGGCCTTTGCTTCAACTGTAACGAGAAGTTTGGCAGGGGCCACAACCGCGTGTGCCAGCGCATCTTTCTCCTCGACTTAGCGCCGGACGACGACGACGACGACGCGGCCTCCGCCACTGATGATGCATCGCGGGCCGACCCTCAAATCTCGCTCCACGCGATCGCCGACGTGCGCACGAGTGAAACCATGCAGATGCAGATTACTCTCGGAGGTGTCTCCCTTCTCGCCCTGATCGATTCAGGCTCCACCCACAACTTCATCGCCGAAGAGGCGGCCGCTCGTGCTACGTTACCGCCCCCCACCACAGAGAAGATGCGCGTCACGGTGGCCAACGGCGAGCGCGTTCCGTGCCAGGGCGCGTACCGCGTCGTGCCCTTCCGCATCGGCCACGAGGAGTTCGCGGAGGATTTCCTCGCCTTGCCGCTCGCGGGCTACGACATCGTCCTGGGCACGCAGTGGCTGGCGTCGCTCGGACCGATCCTGTGGGATTTCCGAGCCCTCTCCATGACATTCTGGCGGCGGGGCCATCGGGTGTGCTGGCACGGCATTGCAGGACCGGACGGGCCAGCCCTAAAATCATGCAGCGGCCGCGACTTCCTGGACGCCATCATCACCGAGTTCGAAGGCATCTTCGCCGACCCCTCCGGCGTGCCACCGCCCCGCAGCCGCGATCACGGCATCACCCTGCTACCTGGTTCCGCCCCGGTGGCCGTCCGTCCGTATCGATACCCGGCCGCGCACAAGGACGAGCTGGAGCGTCAGTGCGCCGCCATGCTCGCCCAAGGTATCATCCGTGCGAGTTGTTCCGCATTCTCGTCCCCGGTACTGCTGGTCCGCAAGGCCGACGGGTCCTGGCGCTTCTGCATCGATTATCGCGCCCTGAACGCCATTACTGTCAAGAATGCGTTCCCGATTCCGGTGGTGGACGAACTCCTCGACGAGCTACGGCACGCTCGTTTCTTCACCAAGCTCGATTTACGTTCCGGCTACCACCAGGTGCGGATGCGTGCGGAGGACATCCCGAAGACAGCTTTCCGTACTCATGACGGCCTCTACGAGTTTCTGGTGATGCCGTTCGGACTCTGCAACGCGCCGGCCACGTTCCAGGCCCTCATGAATGATCTGCTGCGGCCATACCTGCACCGTTTTGTTCTCGTCTTCTTTGACGACATCCTCATTTTCAGCGAGACATGGGCTGACCATCTCCGACATGTGCGCACCGTCTTCACGGTCCTGCACCAGCACCGGCTCTTCGTCAAGCGCTCCAAATGCGCGTTCGCCGTTGAATCAATCGCATACCTGGGTCACACCATCTCCGCTGCAGGCGTGGCCATGGATCCGGAAAAGGTGCAGGCAGTGGCGGACTGGCCGCAACCACGCTCGGCGCGCGCGGTTCGGGGCTTTCTCGGCCTTGCGGGGTACTACCGCAAGTTTGTCAAGGACTTTGGCGTGGTTGCCGCGCCCCTGACGGCCCTCCTTCGCAAGGATGGTTTCTCTTGGTCGCCGGAGGCGGCAGCAGCTTTTAACACCCTCAAGACGGCAATCACCACGGCTCCCGTCCTCGCGTTACCGGATTTTACACGGCCGTTCATCGTCGAGTGTGACGCATCGACGTACGGTTTCGGGGCCGTCCTTCTTCAGGACCACCACCCGGTGGCTTTCTTTAGCCGGCCAGCCGCGCCACGTCACCGTTCCCTGGCAGCGTATGAACGGGAACTCATCGGCCTGGTGCTCGCGATTCGCCATTGGAGGCCGTACCTATGGGGGCGTCAGTTTGTGGTAAAAACGGATCATTACAGCCTCAAATTTCTGCTTGACCAGCGTTTGGCCACCATCCCGCAGCATCATTGGGTTGGCAAACTCCTGGGATTCGACTTTACGGTGGAGTACAAGGCAGGTAGTACCAACACGGTGGCGGATGCACTTTCCCGCCGTGACACGGAGGAGACGACGATCATGGCGGTCTCAGGGCCTCGTTTCGACTTCATCAATCGCCTCCGGCAAGCGACGTCCACTGATCCGGCGCTCGTCACACTGCGGGAGGATATCACGGCAGGTGCGCGGCAACAGCCTTGGGCGCTCTCCGACGGCCTCGTTACTTTCAACGGCCGCCTCTACATTCCGCCGTCATCCCCGCTACTCCAGGAGATTCTCAGTGCCGTGCACGATGATGGGCATGAAGGCGTCCTGCGCACATTGCATCGTCTCCGCCGCGATTTCCACACACCTAACCTTCGCAAGACGGTGCAGGAGTACGTCCGCACTTGCGGTACTTGCCAGCGGTACAAGTCCGAGCACTTGCACCCCGCTGGGCTGCTACTGCCGCTGCCGGTGCCCACGGGCGTGTGGACTGACATCGGCATCGACTTCGTGGAAGCGCTTCCTCGAGTAGGCGGGAAGTCTGTCATCCTCACCGTGGTGGATCGCTTCAGTAAGTATTGCCATTTTGTGGCGTTAGCCCACCCATACACGGCAGAGTCAGTGGAACAGGTGTTCTTCGCTGAGGTTGTTCGTCTCCATGGCGTGCCGCAGTCCATGGTCTCTGACCGCGACCCCGTCTTCACCTCCGCTTTTTGGCGAGAGCTCATGCGCCTCACGGGGACAAAGCTGCACATGACGTCAGCATTTCACCCGCAGTCGGATGGTCAAACGGAGGCTACTAACAAGATCATTGTGATGTATTTACGGTGTCTTACCGGGGATCGTCCCAAGCAGTGGCTCCGGTGGCTTCCCTGGGCTGAGTACATATACAACACCGCCTACCAGACAGCAACCCAAGAGACTCCGTTCAAGCTTGTGTATGGCCGTGACCCTCCCACTATTCGCTCTTACGAGCCCGGCGACACACGGGTGGCTGCAGTGGCCAGGAGCATGGCTGAGCGCGACGAACTTATCGAGGACGTCCGCTATCGTCTACAACAGGCACAGGCGGTCTATAAGTCCTACTACGACAGACGTCATCGGGACATTCGGCATGAGGTGGGCGATTGGGTTTGGCTTCGCCTTCGACAGCGCGCCGCGTCCTCTCTCAACTTGCCAACCAGGGGCAAGCTCAAGCCACGATTCTATGGGCCGTACCGCATTTCAGAAGTGATCAACGACGTGGCATACCGTCTTGAGCTTCCGGCACGCTCGCGCCTCCATGACGTGTTCCACGTGGGCCTCCTCAAGAAGTTCTTCGGCATTCCTCCAACTACACCGCCGGGATTGCCTTCGATCCACAACGGGGCGGCTGTTCCAGAACCAGAGCGCGTGACTCGTGCGCGCCTAGCACGCGGCGTTCGCCAGCTACTCGTCCACTGGAAGGGTGAAGCAGCTTCGTCAGCTACATGGGAGGATCTTGACAGTTTCGTCGA